TGGCCAATTTAAACTTTTACATTGTTACAAAGTTCATATACAAAATATGAAATATAAATTAAAATCCGAGAGTATTATTTCATTAAATTTACTTTAGTAATATATCAATATAGAGCACTTTACTTGAAAACTTACACAACTACAGGACTAATCTGGCGGTAAGCAAAACCAGCACATGCTCCACAATAGCTGTAACCTGCATGTCTGTGAAATTTTGTTTGTATTTCAATAAAGATTTTGTGACCTAATTGAAAATATTCTAAGGTACTATAATTACTGACGGGGCAATAATTGCCTTAGCAGGTCCATGTGATAAGTCTGCAGCACCCAACCAATCTTCTAATTGTTTATTCAACTCCAAACCTGTACAAAATATTAAAAATATGTAATTCAAAGAATACCTATGAAAATAATATAAAAATATTTATAAACTTTCAAGTTTAAGTTGTAAAGATTATTCTTCAATGGTTTACAACATTCATGAGAGTATATAATGAAAGATAAGATCAAAAATTTAGTGGAAAGTATTCCTAGATGCTTACAAATAGTTATTAAGGCAAAGAAGGACATACAAAATAATAAAGCAAGATAAAAAAAGTGTGAAATATGAACAAAATGAAAATGCCCATGCAATTTTATCTATATTTTTTGTTCATATTTACTTTGTAATTACTCTTATTCAAAATAAACCACATTATTCTATAAAACAACTTAGGAAATTTATTTATAAATACGTAAACTGTTATGACTGTGTATATATATATATATATGTATTAAAGTTAAAAAATAAATATAAAACATCAAAATTCAAAATTTACAATCATTAAAAAATATTTAGTACATAATAATACATAGTATACAATAAAAGAATGTGTAGATATATAAATGGACATTATTCACAATAAAAACAAATCTTCTATTTATGAAGGAATCATAAAATGAAAAAAACATAAGTTTTCATAAACATAATTTAATGAAGTATAAATGAAACATATTATTATAACATATTATTATACAAAATAACCAAAATGCAACAGAATTGGCATAACAATAACAGGTTTCACTGTCAGTTATTAATATAAATATCACATTATATTGGTACATCAGTGTTAAAAAAATATTGAATTTTGATTGCACAATGTAACATATAAAAAAATAATTATTTACTGACATATGTAACTATTACAAAATATACAACAATAAAAATACATCGAAGCAAAGAAAATATAATTAAGTAACTATTATTAAATTACACATAAATATTATTTAAATACTAAATACATTAAAAATATTATTTAAATGCTACTTACCAGAGCCTTCGTACCAACTACCAGCATGAAGTGCTCTTCTAAGTACTGCCATTTTTCACTTTATTACACTAATTTTATTTTTTTCTATCTACTTTTTACAATAAATAACTTTTTAGTTCGTTAATACTTTTAGAAACAACTTATCCAAAGTTCCAACGTTTAATCCTACTTAAATATAAAATGTTTATAAAACTCTATCACAAAACTTTTTATTTAGCCATGAATCATGTGCATCTAATAACGGCGAACGCTTATAGAAGTACTAACACTTACACTAGAGTATATTTTTATTCCTAAGTATTCCTTTTGGGTGTTATAAACTATAAAGAATTAATACTTCAGCAATTTATGTGGTTTTATTAGAAATTTAAAAAAAAGTTTTTTCTTAGTTAGATGAAATTAGTTAAATTTTTATATTTCAAAAATTTGAAACAAAAAATTCTTCTA